GGGGGAACCAAGCCGCCCCCAGCCACAAGGGCACCCGGGGGCTATTCATGCTGAGGGGCCAGGCCCTGGGCGGGGGGTGAACCCAGGGCTGTGGGGGGCAACCCCCAGCTCCGCCTCTTCCACCCAAGGCCCCGCCCCTTTAGGAACCAAGCCCCTCCCCGCACAGGGGAAGGTCTCCAGCTCCCCTGCCCCCCCGTGAGCCTCTCCACATCCAGAGCCCAGGGAGGGAGGTGGTGCGTGGTCCTAGCCTCAGTGCAGCTGAAGCCCAGGGGCGGCCCGGGAGCTGCCCCAAAGCAGGGGGAGGGGTGTGGGCAGAGGCAGTTTGGGAAGGCCCTGCCTGCCCCGTCTCTGATCCCCCACCGCCCCGGCCAGCCTCTGAGCCCCTGCTGAGCACTGAGTCATGCCAAACAGCCGCTGGCAGCACCGTGAGCCAAGCCGAATGGCAGAAACGAGTGGGCAGTTCAGCAGTGGGGCGATTGGACCGACCCCTCGGCTCGTGTAAAGCGACTGATGCCAACGCTGGCTACGCGGCTGGGGACCTGGCCTCCGGAGACAGACCTTGCAGTGTCGACCTGCGGCAAGGCACACAGGGCGCCGCTTTGGAGGGGGAAAGCAGCCAGCAGGGGACATGGGTCACGTGCCGGGGCTGGGACATGCAGTTCAGTGCTGCGCGGTAGGAACGATGGGGGAGGGACCGAGATAAACCCCTCTGCTAGGCGAAGGCATTAGCAGCCTCCCCTGGCAGAGCCGAGGCAGGACAGACAAATGGGCCTGGGAAAACCAGTGTCCGAAGCCCGCTGATCCCCTCCCATCTCTGGGGCCCGGTTCTGAGAAACGGGCTGGCCCAAAGCTGCGAATGTGCCCGGGCAAGATGCAGCCCTACCAGTGTGGGAACTGCGAGCGCACGGCAGCAAAGCCGGCCCTGGCCCCTCCCCAGTGCTCCAGGAAGGGTCTGAGACAGCTGGGCACGTCTAGGCCCCGGCCCCTCCTGCCTCGACGGGGCACCGAGCTCTCGCTGCCAGCCTCAGAGGGGCGGCACGGCGCCCACGCACTCAGCACGAGACGCTGAGCACTCACGCCTCTCCACGGCGAACCCCAGCTGCAAACCGGGGAGGAAGCCCCGCCCCTGCGGAAAGCCGGCATGAACCCACGGCACCTTGAGGGCCCAGGGTGACTGAGGCAGCGCTCTGGGGCTCAGGCCAGCCCTCTGCACAGGCTAAACTTCAGTAGGCAGCGGGGCCGAGGATCAGGGTGGCTGTCCCACACGGCAGGCGTGGCCGAGGCGAAGGGGCCGAGGGGGATTTCCCGAGTACGACCCCAGCAGCGTCACAGGAGAGTCGCAGCCACGTTGAAGGGGTGGTGGAGTTGCCAGTGGCAGCTGTCTGGGGAAGGCCGGTGGTCTGCGCGACACAGGATGGCTGGGGCGAGGGCCGGGCATGCCGCCTGACGGGCGGCCCGATCCCGTTCCTTTCAGGAATGGAGGTAGCAGAGAAACTCCTGGGCCTGGCCCGCGTTATCTACGCCCAGTGTGAGCAAGTGAAGTGCTGCAAGCACCAGAGCCGCCGCCTGGCGACCCGCATTCAGCTCCGGCTGCGGCCCGTGGAGGCCCTCCGGGCGCGGCCGCCCGCCCACGTCTCCCCCCAGCTCCTGAAGACGCTGCAGCAGCTGCTGGAGACCCTGGAGACGGCCCGGGGGCTGGTGCCGAAGTACAGCCAGACCCACTGGCTGGAGAAGTTCCTGAAGGCCGGCGACGTCGCCGAGGGGTTTGGGCGGGTGAACGAGCGGCTGGGGGACGCTGCCGAAGGGCTCTCGCTCCTGCTGCAGGCCGAGCAGAAACAGGCCTTCCTCGGGGCCTTCCGGAGGGACGCCCGCGGCACGGAGGACCACCACGACGGCCAGGCCGACACGGCCCTCTGGGAGGAGCTGCTCGCAAGTGAGTATGTGCTTGCAGCGCTCGCGTTCCCGCCGTTGGGAATCGGCAGGGCGGCTCCACGCCCCCGGGCTGCTGCAGGCTTGAGCTTTGGCCCCAGGGTGGCTCCTGCCGACCGGGACTGGCTGGGCTGACGAGGGGCCAAGACCTGTGAGGTGCCATTGGCCTCACAACACTGTGATGCTGGTGACGCGGCTCCACCGCGCTCTGTGAGCCCCTTGGGCATGGGACCCAGAGCTGTCTGCCCGTGGGCCCCCTGCGCCAAGCCTAGCCGGTCTGTTGGCATGCTAGGTCTGCTGGCACGGGCACCTCCTGGCGCAGCCTCTGCTGGGACCCTGTGCCCAGTTCCGGTGGCAGATAAACTGGAGAGGGCCAGAGAGGCGCCATGGGCAGGATTAACGGGTTACAGAACCTGCCCAAGAGTGGGAGACTCTGAGTTAAGAAAGAGAAGGTTAAGGGATGACTTGATTGCCAGCTCTAAGTTCCTCCATGGGCACCAAATAGGGTCGCCAGATGGTTTCTGAAAAAATATCCAACAAAAAAAAAAAATAAAATAAAATAAAACAGCTGGCCCTTTAAGAAACACTTTTGAGGCTTTTTTGGCCCTAGGCTGCCGGTGGCTGCCCACCATCTTGCCTCCCTGCGCTGGACCGGACAGCTCCCCTGTGGAACCCAGAAAGCACCTGGAATTTTCGCCTCCTGGCTAGGAAAAAATCAGAAAATAGACATTTTAGGTGTCCGATATTTTCTGAATTTTTTTTACAAGACAGGAGGTGAAAATACCAGACTGTCTGGTTCAGTACGGGACACCTGGCAGCCCTAGCACCAAATACTGAGTCTTCGCCCCAGCCGGTCGGACACGACGCACAGGCAGGCAGTTGAAGCCAGACAAATTCAGACCAGAATAAGGAGCAGATGCTCAGCAGCGAGACTAACTCGCCATTGGGCCGATCCCCCGGGGCTGCGGCGGATCCTCCATCAGACAACTTTCAAATCAAGCTGGCGGGTTTTGCTAAACGCGCCGTGCTCGGATGAGTGTGGGGCAGGTCTCCAGCCCGTGCAGGGGTGTGAAAGGGTTAGCCGGGAAGCATGAGGCTTACTGGATAACTGGCACATGAGGGAACTCTGGTGGTGGCCAGCGGGGCCGGCTGGAGCAGCTCCGCTGAAGGGCCAGGCCAGGCAGCGGGCTGGCAGCAGGCCCTGAGTTAAGACGGGTAACCGGTTCAGTGCTGGTGTCTAACCAGTTTGCCCGTTTAACATCCCTGCTTACAGCAGGTCAGACTCGATGGTCACAATGGGCCCTTCTCACCCAGGAGTCTGTGACTCTCTGAAGCGATTTTCCCCCCCCCGGTCTGTGAGGGGCTGGGGGTGCTAGAGCTGTGGCCGGGCAGCGGCAGTCTGGCTTCAAATAGGGGGCGCTTGCCAGGTGGCACCCAGAGACCAATTAGTGCCGGAGGGTGGGATTTTCCCGAGTGGCGGTAACCTAGGAACTCCACGGCCCAAAATCCCATCCGCAAACCTTCCCGCAGGTACTGGGGGCCAGCACGCTCTGACCGGTGCCGTGACGAAGGGGCAACAGCCGCCTCGTATCCAGGGCCGGCCTTACCATGAGGCGAACTGAGGCAGCAGCCTCAGGTGCCAGAGTGTGTGGGTGTGTGGGGTGGGGTGGGGTGGGGGGGGGTGGGGAGGGGGTGAGG